CACTTGCAGGTCAGCCCATAGCTGTTATACCAGAGACTGGGTGTGGGCCTGGCAACGTGTGCTTTGACGTCCCTCCTGGATGATGGTGGAGCCGCTCCTTCCGGGTAATGGTGGGGTTGAGGAGCTCCTCCCGCATGACGCTGGAGCAGCTCCTTCCAGGCGACGGTGGAGAGGATCTTTCCGGGTGACGAACGAGCAGCTCCTTCCGGGTGACGGTGGAGAAGCTCCTTCCAAGCGATGGTGGAGAAGCTCTTTCTGGGTGACTAACGGGCAGCTCCTTCCAGGCGACGATCGAGCAGCTCCTCCCGGGCAACGATCGAGCAGCTCCTTCCGGGCGATGACCGAGCAGCTCCTTCCGGGTGACTGTGGAGAAGCTCCTTCCGGGTGACGGTGGAGAAGGTCTTTCCAGGAGACAGACAAGCAGCTCCTTCCGGGTGACGGTGGAGAAGCTCCTTCCGGGCGACGGTGGAGCAGCTCCTTCCGGGCGGAGGCGGAGCAGCTCGAGTGAGCGAGCCCTGTCCTCTCCCGAGGATGAGGAGTCGGAGGGATGCAGAGCCAGAGACTGGACTGGGCCTCATCTGCCCTCCGGGGAGGCAAGTGTGGGGACGCAGCGGAGGGCGGATTGGAGGTGGAGGAGGTGGCAGCGCCGTGGAGACACAGGGCAGGGGACAGGCCATGACTGGCCGCAGAGCCGCTGTGTGTGGAGGGTCGGCTACACGCGGGCACCGAGTACTCTGCTGGATTACCCTGAGTCCTCTCGGTACCATTCCTACCTCCGTGTCACGGACCAGCGCACTGGGGCTTACTGAAGTCAGTGCCACATGTGTGTGTAATTAGGGCCACTAATTGTGTGCCGAACAGTGGCTAACACGGCAGATTTAAATACGCGAGAGGTCTCTGGAGTTCATGGGAAACGTGTTATGAAGAAACTATGCATGGATTTCAAATTGTTCTTGTGCCAAAATAAACTAGTATATTAATTCCATTTTTCCACGAAATGTTTTGAGGTTCAGTCATACCTTACCACAATTAAGAAAGATATATGCTTAAAGGAAAAAAAAAAAAAAGAAAACAACAAAGCCCAAA